TCGTAGAACTATCGAAAATCCGTCAGCGTCTTAGTGTTATGATAAATACATCTTTTTTTTCTATCGGCTGTTTTTTGTATAAAATCGCCAGAACTATTATTAAAAAGTATCAGGAACTATAGAACTCGACTGCATGCGGCAAGAACTCTCTTTTATTTTTGATCTGCTAGAAAATGATCTGCTACGGGAAGTTAGCAGATCATTTTTTCGATCGACTGTTTTTTGGTTTAAATCGCCAGAACTATTATTAAAAAGTATCAGGAACTATAGAACTCGACTGCATGCGATAAGAACTCCATTTTATTTTTGATCTGCTGGGAAATGGTATGCCAACTTCACAGGCATAGACAGTCTAGACTGCCGCGAAAGCCACTTTTGTGCTCTTAACAAATCTCGATATTCTAAAGGTTCAACATAGGGCCAAAATTTCGACTCGTCTTCGAATCGCGATCGTTCATTCAGTCTTATAATCTTAGGAGTTGTGGAGCGCCCACGACTAGATAAGTATTTCGGTCACCGAGTACACGCATGGGTGGTTCCTCCTCCTGCCGGAGGATAGAGGCATAAGAAAAATTGGGAAATCGCCGAACCAATTTTCATCGAACCTTCCTCCGGAATGTCTTACGACCCCACCGACGAGGAAACGAATTCGTTGTATCTGGGAGTCGAGAATATTTAGAACGACCAGAATTATTGGGTGAATATGCAGCCGCGCGGAAATTAACTGGGACTTGGGTAAAGTCGAACTCTGGGAGCACTTGCCTCCCGGCGAACCGCGAACCGCGAACCGCGCGAAAAAACGCGGATGAGACCGAGGAAGACGCGGGAGTGAAACAAGACCAGCACTGGTTAGACATGCCAGCCTCGTACGTGAGTGAAATCCAAATTCACAGTTTCGGTATGTAAACGCATTTTTCGATTTAAGTCCATTTTTTAATTAATAGACTCTTCGCGGGAGGAGAAACTGATCGACTTCGTAAAGTAAGCAGCAGAGAAAGTTGAGAAACGTAAAGTATGGTTTATTTAAAGATCAGACTCACCGATACTGATGCCGCAACAGTGGAGTCGAAACTGCATTCATCTGTAATACAAAGATACATTCGAGTTAAAATAGTGTCCCAAATACGTAATATTGCAAAAGATAATCATCGCGCATGTTTAATCCTTTAATCTAAGCATCGTTTACGCAGATATTTATACAAAGAGCTTAAACGATATTTCCAAGAATCAGTCTATAGGCCATAAGTTACAAAATTTGATAAATGTATCATCCAATTAATTTAATATTGCATTTGTCGTACGACACATTTTCTAAGCATATAGTTGATTAACTGAGATAGAAAAGTTGTCGAGGTTCTAAAAATTTTATATTTTATATTTTATAGCTATATTTTATAAATCAGAAATGTTCGAAATTGTTGAATTATTTCCTAGATTCCTATTGTGTTTTCTAGGGAAAACGGAATAATTCCGAGCATTTCCATGATAGGTACACAGTTGAAAAATCTGCGTTAAATTTAACAGATATCATCACATGTTCCAAACGGTCCACACAAATTTTTCTGTTAATTTAACATAATATGGATATGTTAAATGATCACACTAATGCTCTGTTAATATTTTAACACGAAATAAATGCAAATCTCAAAATAATTTGAAATAAATTTTGTGCAAAATTAACATATTTTAAATGACAAAATGAATTTTTAAAAATGTAATTTTTATATTTTACAGATGTCAAATGACGCTTCGAAATCACTCTCACTTATATAAAATTAAGTCAACATTTTATTCTGTAAATTTTAACAGATAAATTTTGTTACTAATAATATAGAAGATATGTATTGTGTCAGATTAAAAAATAAGTACACATTGTGTTGTTTCAACATTTCTTTTCAGTTATTTTAATAATTCTACATTTCAGGTCAATTAACACAAGAGCAATATGTTAAATTAACACACGAATGTGTTAAACATTTAACACAAAAATTTTAACCGGCATTTTGTTTAACAAAAAAACACAAATTTTCCAACCGTGTGGGTACCCAGTACGCTTAAAAAGTTTGTCGCACGGCGAATGTAAACCACCCTTATGCGGGATCTACAATACGAATCTCAGAGTCGTAGTCGTAGAACTAAAGTAGTCAACTATTCTTAAGCCTTGTGTCCACGATCCAAGAACTGTGTCCAAGTTCTAGTTCCGAGAAATGCGTAGCCAATCACCTTGCAGCTTTTATGGAATAGCTGCAGGTTGATTGGCTACACATTTCTCGAAACTAGAACTTGAACCAAGTTCTTGGATCGTGGACACAAGGCTTTAAAGGCCTGTGTCGACGATGCTAGAACTTGGACCAGACCTTTACGACTCTGAGACTCGCACTGTAGATTCCGCATCAGGCTAATATTACATTTGTCGTGCGATAAATGTAACGCCGGGATGTGCTTCAAATATTACAAATATTTCATATTGAATGCTTGAAAAGTCTCGAAATAGCCAGACACGTTTAATATCACCATAGCCGCGTCGCGTCGCGGCGCGGCGATGAACCATTTCGTAAAAATCAAACAAGACTCACCCGTGGTTGTTCCACCGGCGCCGGATGCCCCCCGGGCCGCCTCCTCCTCTCAGATCCTTTGCGTTGCACTCCTTGGCACGCAAACTTCGCTAATCACTTGTACACGTCACTAATTACCTTGGCCACCAATCGAGGCACAAAGTCGCACACGAGGTCGCACATTTTGTACAGCACTCCCGACGACGGTCATCAAACCACGAGTCGCCCGCCGTTTTTGATTTTTACGACGCTCGTATCTTGCAAGATCCACTCGCGATGGAATGCGAACGACGATCGCCAATCGCAAAGACGCACCGCGCGGCACTTTGTGCGACACTCCCGGCGAAAATCGCTCCGCGACGCGACGAACAAACGGCGCGAGCTTACTACGACGTTTACGCGGACGACGCTACGACTGTTAAAATGGCGGACACGATTCGTAAAGCGGGTTGCTAACTCCGAGCAGCTACCGTCCCTGTCTGTCGGTATCGCGTCGCGCGCCTACGAGATCAACGCGATCTGAGAACTCTGAGGTAGAAGGCGAGCACCCGCGGGACACGCGGTGCCGAAAAACACGATCGTACACGCTCGCGGCGCCGACTACTCTCGCGCCGCCGATCGCGCGCGCGCGCCTCGGGGGGCTAATTGCGACGTCGAATATACGCGACGCGACCGACGGGCCGTTAGAGAATTGACTTGAAGAATTGCACTGCACTCACCAATCGAACGCGCTGCGACGCCTCCCGACGTAAACGTCGCGTCGCTCCCAACTTTCGCGTTCGCGTCTTCCCAAACAGTTGAACGCCAACGTACCTGTGACGTCACGCGACGCAACGCGAGTTGCTTCGGCCGTTAACGGAGACGCGGGCCGGCCGTTCGGAGAACACACGCTCGATTCCAAACATTGTTATTACGCACGGAGCCGCGCGACACCGATCTCGAGCCTCGTGCAAGTGATGTATTGTTAATAAATTGTCGATCGCGGTTTCTCCCGAGTCACTCCGGCGATTCACGTATTACTTACGTTCTCGGCGAGCGTATCCAGTGCTACCAATCGTTTACCGAGCGTCTGCGATGCGGTGGAACGTGGCTGGCTTGCGCTTTCAGGGCCAACTGGTTGCGCAGCCTGTCCGGCGCTGCGTTTGAACGCACGCAGAAAATTCCAAGCTCGATGAAAGAGTACGCCGGAACGTTGGCGTTGTATCAGAGGGGCGTTTGAAATCGCGGCTTGTCGCATTGAAGCGGTAAACCGTAAGTATTGCCTTTAGAGCCAAGTGTTACACGATCCTGGTTTTGGGCACTGCGTATCCCGCGGATGCTCGCCTTCTACCTCCGAGTTCTCAGATCGCGTCAAATCACAATTCTGTCTAGTGGACAATTGACTGTCAGACCGCGTAATCGTTGCGAAAAGAGATCTGTGGTTGAATGTGGACGTGAAAATCTACCGCGCACTAGAATCCCGTCTCGCGATAGAGGACTTTCCTCTAATAATGCGGAGCGACTCGCGACACAACTCGCCGGCACGCGCGTCGCCAAGCGAATGACCGGAGCGGCAACCTTGTCCCGCGCCGATACAAAAACAAGCGCCGGCACAAAAACGAGCGCTGGCACAAAAACAAGCGGCGAACGTTACGGATTCCAAAAACAAGTACAGTTTAACGACGTAATTTTTATGTATTCATTCCGTTCGTATTTCAAGATCGTCTTGTTTCTACCAACGCAGTTCAATCTCGGTTAAGCTTTCTTTATATCTTTTTCTAGTTTTACGAATTGGAAAGAGATAAGAAGTAATTTAAACCGAGATTAAAGTTAATCCGCATCCTGGTAGAAATGTGCACAAATATTGATTTATGACACATTGAAGCTACGCTTAAAGGCCATTCTACAAATGCGTAAACGTGGTTGTTAGCGGTTGTACAGTGTTGTAAAACACAGTTTTAAACTAGCATTTCCGATTGTAAACCCTGTTGTAAAGGCCATTCTACAATTGCGTAAACGTGATTGTTAACGGTTGTACAGTGTTGTAAAATACAGTTTTAAACTAGCATTTCCGATTGTAAAGGCTGTTGTAAAAGATGGCTGAACTTGATCTTTCACGACTACAACGATGTACGACGTAAAAGCTAAAGGCCTTCACACATAAAATTCCGTAAGGACGTAAAACGTAAGTGTAAGAAAATCAACAGATTATAGCCTCCGCTACAATGATTCTCGGTTCTGTCTACAATGGTCGTAGTCGTAGTCGCTCGATAAGAATTGACCAATCGCAGTCGATTATTCTTACGACTACGACCATTGTAGACAGAACCGAGAATCATTGTAGCGGAGGCTTATGCGTGGTCTACAATGCGAGTCGCAGAGTCGTAGTCGTAAGAATAATCGACTGCGATTGGTCAATTTCGTCAGACACATAAGAATTGACCAATCATAGTCGACTATTCTTACGACTACGACTTTACGACTTCTATGTAGACGAGGCTTCAGATTTGCTACTGCTTGCGCTATTACCTTACGTTCTCGACTGTGATTGGTCGATTTTCTTAACCTTACGTTTTACGTCCTTACAGAATTTTATGCGTGAAGGCCTTAACCAATCAGAATTCTGTCACGTGTCTATACCGCTCTCATCAAACGCTAAAGTGTACTCTGATTGGTTATCATTTACTTCAATTACGACGTATCTTACCCTATTGTATATTACTTTGTTGTACAACACTTATTACCACTTCTACTCCTACAACCCTACAACTACGTTTACGCAATTGTAGAATGGCCTTAATGCCCGTTTCTACCAATGCAGATTAACTTTAATCTCAGCTTAAATTACTTCTTGTCCTTTTCCAATTCATAAAACTAGAATAGATACAAAGCAAGTTGAACCGAGATTAAAGTTAAACTGCGTTGGCAGAAACGGGTATAAGACACGTATCCAGTCGAAAGCTCTACCGTGCTTTCCAGCAAGCGACACAAGTCGACACAAGTGTCGTTCTGTCTTTATTATTCATTGAATGCGAAGAAAGACAGAACGACATTTGTGTCGACTTGTGTCGCTTGCTGGAAAGCACGGCTAGACTGTACGCCGTCCTGTCTCAAAGTGCTCAAGATTCAAAAAGTCCGCCGTTCCTGTTCGCACTGTCGGACTTTTCTCCGGCTCAGCGTATCTTCGTTACGTGCCTTTTCAATGGCGTAACGAAACCGCGCGGCATCTGTCCACGTCAGTTCGCGTGGTGCCCGCGTCGCACAGTTTTTTTCTGGACGTGACACGCGAACGGCGGTCCGCTCGAAAGCTCGTGGCGATTGATGAGGAAAACATTCACGCAGATGACAAGCCACCTGGACATTTCCTAGCGTAAACGAGGTGAGTCCGCTACGATTCCGCCGCTTACGAGCCCGGCGGCGCCCGGCGCCGCGCGCTCGGCGACAATTTCCGGACAAGTCCGCGGCTAACGTGACGTTGTTTTCTTTCCGATCAAGGCAACGAAGATGCATTGGACGCTGTGCGCGCTGATAATCGGGTCGTTCGGGTGCAAATATCTCCTCGTCCAGGCGCAACGGGTCCCGCCGGGCGTGCCGCCTCAGCATTATCAGCAGGTAACTCGCCACCTCTTCCAGCGGTATCGGCGAACATATGGTTGAGCCGCGGTGCTTCCCGGCGTGTGACGTGGAAGTCAGTTGGAAGCGTGGCCGATACGATACCGTCAGGTTCCATTTCCATACATTGCAGGTACGCGATGGAAAATCCGTTCGCTCGCGGTTTATTTATCATCGGCGAGCATCAGATCTGTTGTCTATTCATTGCGTTGACGTCCAAACGGCGGAATTGTTCCGGCGTAAATCCCCGCATTGACGAATTCGACAAAGTTGACCTGTAAACAGCCGCTGAATGGTACTCCATTGTTCGTTACGTTACAATTGTCTGTTTGTTTCAGCCCATGCAAGTGCCGCAACATGCGCAGCAAATGCCACAACACCCGCAGCAAGTGCCACAGCAACAGGTAGGTGTATCTCGACCGTGCAATCGTCCTCTGCAACACCGTTCAATATATATACGTCGCTGTTAGCCCATTTTCTTTAGTATATATAAACATTAGAGTTTCGGTTTGATTAATATCTGGCTCAATCAAATTCTGCAATCAAGTATCAAGTGCCGGCGCAGCAGCAGGTTCCTGTTCAGCAGCAAGTACCGATGCAGCAAGTACCTGTGCAACAGCAGGTGCCCATGCAGCAGCAAGTGCCTGTGCAGCAGCAAGTACCTGTGCAGCAACAGATGCCTGGTCACCAAGCTCACGGGCAACCGCATGGGCAACCACATGGGCATGGTCACGGGCCACCTCAGTTACTTAACACTGCCAACATAGCTCATGAGAAAGAGTAGGCATTATTTCCAAGCAGGTTTATGTAAAACTTCAATTATTTCTACAGTATGTACAGTCGCAGTTGTCCAAGTCGTCTGATTTCCGGCTATATTCGAGGCAATTGCTTTTTAACTGTTGAAAACAAAATTTTCAATCTTCCAATATTTCTTTAATTATCAACTTCAATATTGCAATATTAACATTTTTATATTTTTATATAAGGAGTCATGAAAATGAATTTACTGTATTTTTAAGTGAGACCTGGAAGCACGTTTTGCGTCACTTTTATTGTTGACACTGTTCCCCCTCTTGTCACGCGTAAGAGATACGTTATTTTTATATAATAAGTAACGTTTGTACGTTTTTAAAATTTTTTTCTGGTTTATTCGAGTTTTTTATCATCTGAAGTGGCTGTGGTCCACCTTAACTTGAATAATCCGGAATCTACTGTAGTTTGTCTTAAAGCTGGGTATACATCTACGAACAAACACCATGCTTCGGCGTATACATCTGCCGAATTATAACGTCAAACGTTCGCTGTTCGTTTCGTAGATGTATGCCCAGCTTTATATGTATACAATAATAGTACGTCTTTCTTTCTACTAGTCACATCGCTGAGCATGCTGACGTTCCAATAGATACCAGCAAGATGACGGATCAGGAGCTGCAGTTTCACTATTTCAAAATGCACGATGCAGATAATAACAATAAGTTAGACGGTTGTGAGCTGATCAAGTCTCTTATACATTGGCATGGTACCTACAAACCTATCATCTATCTCTCTTTTTTCTGCATCCTTTCTCGTGCGAGTCTGAATTTGTAAATATTTCTATTGTGTCCGTAGAACAAGGTAGTTCGGAGTCTGGTGCAGAGGGCGAAAAATTGTTCAAGGATGAGGAATTAGTGCAATTGATAGACCCGATACTTAGCATGGACGACAGTAATAACGACGGCTATATCGATTACCCAGAATTTATTCGGGCCCAACAAAACGCAGCTAGTTCGCGTACATAGTGGTGAACCGAAATTTACTATGAACTACGATTAAAAGGAATTGCGCGAGATCGAAGGGACATGCAGAGAATGTTGAATTTTCATTATGAATGTTTTATTGATGCATTATTGTTTATCCTGTGTGCATGAGGCAAAATTGGTGTGATTCATTCTTATTCGAATAAATTAAAAACTAAGAAATAGATAAATATAAAAAAAAGGAGGGAACTTTTTTTATATCAGTGTTATACACGTATGGACAACATATGATTTAAGCGATTTTATAATTGAGCATATATTGTACATTTACAGAAATAATTGAGGGGTAAAATTCCTCCTGATTATTTATGCTCAACGAGATTAGTTTCACGATGAAAGTATTTACTGCGTATCATTGTGTAAAGATGGTCGTAATGTTCTATCGTTACTAAACTAAGTTTTTTGATATACCAGAAGACTATTTTTAAACGAGAATAATTTATAGAATATCTCGGGCTTTGTTAATAAATAAAATGTTCATTTATCAGTTTGTTTATTGATTAACATAAGATAATCTTATCAATTTGCAAAATATTTATATTAAGACAAATATTTTGTTTTCTAGTGAATATTTTTTAACAAGGCGTGAAATTTTTCGTGCAATAACAATGTTCGTACAGAATTTTATCCAACATATGTACCAATTAAAAATAATTGCAGTCTGAAACATTTTTGCAGAATTTCGTCATATAAGGTATTTGAATAATAAAAATAAATATAACGTTTATAGAATGACGTAATATGTATATATAAAAAAATCAGTAATAATTAACAATAATTCATAGGTTTATTGAGTTTTAGATTTCTATATCAAAATGCTATCAGTAATCGTACAACACTTGCAATTTCATATATAGTGAATAAATTATATGTATATATAGTTATACACATATAGTGGCATAACAAAGTTTTCTCTTTAGAGAATGACGAATCCGTTTAAAGAGATTTTAATAATTTAATCATGGAAATACAACAGTGGTACGTATAGAAAATATGATTACATACTTTAAAATGACTAGAAATACATTAAGTGATATTGCCGCTAAAGTTAACCAAGCAATTCGTATTCATTTATAAATACATTCCATTAACCAAGTAATCGGCATCATGCGCAAAAGGTCCGTGCCCGCTTCTTCCACGCCGTTTTACTACTCGCAATCGGCAAACAATTAAAGCAGCCGTGATCGCGGTCGCGATGAGACCCAATGACAACGACACTACGGCACCTCTGGGCCTCAGAACGTCATTTTCAATTATTTGAAGATGTTCCGCAATAACGTCAGTTCTCTCGCGCGCTTTTGCATGCTCTTCGATTACAATCACTGTTTTGTGATCTGAAAAAAGCCAGGTTACGGTAAAATTAAATGCATTATACGAGATGATAGAGAAGGATTTAAAACTTTAAGAATTATAATTATTGACAGAAATAAAAGATGATTTAAGGGACATAAGTTTTATATATGTATATAGTATTGCATAGATCTACTTGTATGCAAATTAACAAAAATTAACTTTTCTATATCATTTATAAATAAAAGACATTAGGATACGATATTATCGAAAATAGATTATTATACAGTTTTTGGATCCTTTCTCAATATATAACAAATTTGTAAATGCATTTACCTTTCAACTCTTTTGCACGATTATGTTTGGTAATCTCGTTTGCAGATAAAGTTGGTTTCTCAGTGATCTGTTGCTTGCTCGTCTTTACATGCGTCAGATATGTGTTGGCCTTTTCTTCCTTCTGCACAGATTCCTTGTCCTCGTTTTTATGTTCCTCCGAGGTCTATTAACGAAATTTTTGTAATTTGTACAATTCTATAATAACTTCAATCGCTGAGAGACTTGACTTACATCACAAGCGGGCGTCGTCGTAATTATCGCAACATTTTCCACATCATTGGCCTGCTTATTTTGAGAATTCGGTGCAATAGATGGTGAAAATTGCACGGGATTTTCTTGCCAACCCGCTTTATTCGCCGATGGAAAATGTGAGGAATATGAATGCTTGACATCTATAAACGGTCCCCTAACATCATATTATAGAACCAAAAATTAGAGCCCAATTACTTGCCAGCAATTATTCGCAATAATTAAAAGGATAATACTTGAAATTACCTATCCGCCTCATTGTTTCCTATGACGCTCGGGCCCTTGTGATTAAATATATGTGGTTGTTCTGGAAACATATTTTCACACTCGTACAATCCCATGACGAATATGCATGGCAAAGAAATTCTATTTTATAAATCAATAAGAAATAAGACCGAGCAGAGCGTAGGTAGCTCAATGCTTTATACAATGTGTAATACACGCGATCTTATTTCTCATTAACTTATATCATAATCGGTCCACGATTTAACTCTATTATTAATTATATTTTACATACGTTCATAAGGATTCATATGTTGTTCGCGAATAGTATTAGCAGGAACGTAGGGGTCCTTGTTTGGCTCATACAGAGGCTGATAGTCCCACTGGTATCCCGACGATCCGTAATTCTTATGCATCTGCGGTATCTCTACCGGTTGGCCGGGATACAGAATATTCTGCGGCTGCGACATCTGATGGGTCAGACTAGGTATGTCCCAAGTCTTAGGATTTATCTCCGGCCCGGGATAGAACGGAGGAAGGACCTTACGCTGGTCCATCATTTGCTGATATCGGAGGATATCGGCGGGCGGACGTGGCATCTGTATCATTGGAGGAGCCGTCGGCTTCTCCGTGGGGCAGACGAGGTCCGCTGCCTCGTCAGAGCCGTCCGCGCACTGCGGAATGCCGTCGCAAACATTATATATGGCTATGCAATCTCCGGATGACCGGCACTCGTACTGATTCCTGGTGCAGGCTGTAATTGACGAGAGACCTGTATCAATATCTGTGTAGATTATTTATAACTCGAGCATTCTTAACGTTTTGGAATAGCATCATACCCGGTTTGACCGGCGCTGGCGTAGTCAGTATTACTTTTGACACTTGCGTGACTACAGACTTGACGGGAGCTTCCGTGAATCCGTAATCCGACGTGATCTCGTTGCTTTTCCTGAAGCACGAGAAAGTTAGTCGCTAGAGATCTAAGGTGCGCACCCAGAGCTAGCTCTACAATCTTAGCACCCTTATGCTACAATTTTTCAGAAACCCCCCTATGTTTCGCTAATGAGTGAGCTGATAGAAAATAGTCCACAACCTTAATTATTTTAGCACCAATTTATTAAAAATAAAGATCTCTTTAAATCTCCTGAGTCAGAGGCCTGAGCTGCAACTTATCTAGCTTACGTGTAGCGCAAGCATTGCGGGTACCTAAGGGACTTTAACTCGTGCTCCTGCTGAGATATCCTGACCTCCTCCTCCACCTGTACATTCTGTATGGGATAGCTGGTGCGCACGGCGCTGGTATAATTGGCGTGCCTCGTGAACTTGCACTTGAAGTCGTGCAGCGGGCCGCACTGGAAGAGGTAGCAGCTGCTCGGCTTCTGCGAGAGGCGAGACAACCAAGATGAAACGTCGCCCCCGACGGTGGCCCTTTACCCTCGTGTCACTCATATTACCTTCTCCTCGAAGATGAACACGTCGCACCGCTCGGTCTCGCAGCAGTACTTGAGGCAGTCCAGCCTGGAGTCGACGTCCAGCACGTTCAGGTACTTGGCGCCCATGTCGCGGGAGTCCTGCGTCCGGATGATCTTGTCCTTGTGGATGTCGAAGCTCTCGAGGCACATCTGATAGTCGCTGGCCCTGTCGCCGCCGTGCCGCTTCTCGCTCGGCCTGATCGCGCCGCCGCCGTCGCCGCGCGCACGGTGGAGGATCGACACGACGAGGATTAGGGCCACGACGACCCGCCGCGTTCCGTCCAACATCGTTCCCGCTTGCGCATCGTACTGGAGGCAGCGTGAGCAGCGCGCCTCCGCGTCTCCGAGGCCCGGGTTGCGCGCGCTGTCGCGTCCGTATCGCGATCGATAGTCTAATTCTAATCTTTCACGGACGGGGAGCTCGTCGCCGTCGAGGGGAACGTCGAATCCTGTAGATCGGCGTCATTTTTTTTCCTTCTCCCTCTCACTCGCTTTCTCCCTTTAAATTGACGCTGTATTAAAATATTAAATTAAGCTTCCATTTAATTAAACTTTCCTCGCGCGCGCGAGGTTATCGAGGTTACCGAAGTGGTGCATGCGTACTCGTCGCCGTGCGGATATCGTCGGATATCGTCGCGAGATTTCGAACTGCTGATAGATAGCGATTTTTTTCGGAAATGTAGATAATCGGATGAGACAATTTTCTCATAAATCGAGAATGTGGATGGAAGAATCGCGGTGCCGTATGTCACTGTAAACCTGTAGCAGACGACGAATTATGTAATAAGAATTCAACCAATCGAAATAACACCAGTCAATTTGATTGGTCGGCTGCATTCGGCGGGGGAAGCAGCTTATCTGTCCGTTTTCATGAATGTAGTAAACTTCAATCTCGGAGAAAACAAATAAAAAGTAAAGAACAAGTCAAGTAGAAACGGCCAACAAATTATACTCGAAGCGACGAAAGACTCACTGCGTTAATACGAGATGTATCCGAATACAAGCATCGTTTAAAGAAGCAATTATCGCCCGTAATTATCGCAATAAAGAAATAATTTCAAGTTCGCGGGCGCTTTGATTCTTGTATGTATGAATCCGTCTTGCTGGCTAACCGAGCATAGATGGCAAATCGCGGGGATTCATCGATCACCAGTTGTTCGCAGAGAGCGATCGCGATTTCTTCCCGTACCTGCAGTGGGAAATGATTCGTTGACCCGGTTGATCGATGTCGAAACGATGTCGATCGACGTCAATTTGACGTTGTCGATGTCGAAGCGATATCGTTACGACATCGATCGATGAATCATTTCCCACTGGGTACTTGTCGCGAACGCGTATCAAAAAAAGAATAATACGATATGCGAAACGGCGCGGGCATAGCAGACTCGTTCAACTGTCGCCGTGTGAATCACGTGAACGATCCCTGCGTACGGCGTGACCTTGTTTCGCCGAGCGCCGTAAACAACTCGGTCGAAAGCCGAGCGCCGGGTTCCACGAAATGACGTAGCGCCGTAAACACCTCGGTCGAAAACAGCCTGTTATTTGGCTCGGCTCAGCCGAGCGAGGCGAATGTGTCGCGTGTCTTCGCGTCGCTCGTCGTGACGCGATCATTTCCTGCGAGAATCTCGGTCGTCTCGTACGAA